TGTACCTTTACGTATGAAGTTGGAGGAAATGTTACCATCTATAACCAGGCTACTAAAGGCATATGAATTCAACAGTCACTAACTTTTCTCATTCCTTTGTTCCAGTCCATTTCACCACATGATGCATTCGCTCTCGGTGTTGCCTTACCAAAACTTGGCATCCAGATTCTCCATCATGATTTCCAGGTCTTTTCCTGGTCATTTATCTAAGATAGGGTACAGCCCTTCATAAAACTCATCAATATCCTCTTTGTTGTCACCATTGGTGGGTGAGTAGGACTAGATTACAAAAATTGTAGTTCTTTCCTTTCTTTGTTCTGAATGATACTATTATGGTCATAGATCATATATTTCCCATCTTATTAGCGCTTTTCGTGCTTATCCAAATGGCGTCAGTATAACTTCTTAATTGTAAGGGGGCATTTTCTTCTTCATGACCAGAATACATCAACAGCTTTCCCGACGTTAGTCCTTTGTGTTCAGTTTGTGTTTAATGGATTTCACTAATTTTAAGCACAGCTAGGTTCTACCTTCAACGTGTATTTGAAGGATCCTCTCAGCCTCCAAACGTGTCCCTACTTTTATTGTTGCCATGAATATCAAAAGGAACGTTTGTCTAATGAATTCCAGAGACTTGTTTCTCATAACTAAACGTCATAACTCTTCTAAATGAAGATCCTTTAATTCGCAACGCACATTTTACTTGACTTTTTCTAGTCAGCCACTTTTTAGTAGAGTTCATTTTTTCGAGAAAGAGTTACTAACTCTACGTCTGACCCTACCCCTTTACACAGGTTTGGGACCAATAATAACCCAAGAGGGTCACGAAGTAGAATCGATTCAGTTTAGTTATCAAATTTTCAGTTTTATCGAGGATTAACAACGTATTGTGTCATGAAAGGAGAAAATAAAGAATTACTGGTGAATTCGTCACCGTCATTTTATCTCCTATAAATGTTCCATACAAAAATGACAATGTAGTTTCCCCCGCCCCAATATGTTCAGCCTGTCAGTCAAGTTTTCATTGATAAGCTATTCGATTGTAGTTAGAAAATCGTACCCATAAGCAAATTATTTGTCAAACTACTTCAGTAATCACAGTATTGTATCGATTCAATTAGGGCATCATTACGGTTTATTTCATTCAAGCTTTCTCTATAAATACATGTTTTTATTGTGATCGCAATCATGCTTTTATCAATACCAATTATTATTTAATTTCCGGAAATTAAAGAGAAACATATCATATTATTCATACTGAACTACTGACCTCTTTCTTTACTGACCCATTAGTTCGAATTATTCACATTTCTATGAAGTAATATTTCCTATTGTAAAACATTTATTTGTATCTTTTATTCAGAATTTTAGCTTATATGATTTATTACTTGACTAAAACCTCAATATTTGCTCTATGATGATATTCAGTATATGAGGTATAAAAAGGTTTTTCAAATGAAGAAATCATGAACAGAACAGTCATTACTATGTTTTTATTCATAACATATAGCAGTAACATCTATTGTCTGTGTATGTACAAACAATAACATTCTTTATTGCATCCATGGATTTAGGTCATTTCTACCTTGTTGAAATTTTTTTAGTATACTTTAATGGCTTATTAAATATGTAATAATGAAAGAGGTGTTAAACACTCCTCGATATTAAATGTTATTTTTTATGTAAACTGTGAAATCAACCTCATCAGAAGTAAGGTAGCTACTCATTGTTGATATTTCAACCAGTGAATGAACTTGAAAATATAGATTATTATATTCTTAGTGAACTAAAGCTGTAATACTCGCTGAAGGATCAGACTTTATGTTCGCTTCCTACTCCTACTTGTGCCTTGATAAGGGATGTACTTTAAAAAATGTAATAAAATTGCTATCATGAATCAGACCTGCACAAAGCTTATAACGTTGTCATACCTATAATAAAATAAAGTTGTAAGTTAATTGTCTTGTATTCATATTTATATTTAATGTATGAGATTAGACTAAAAAGAAAGGGGAAGAACTATTCTTTGGATAAAATTTTCTGATCTTATTATGAAGTGAAAAAACCTTTGTATGTTATGTATGTATTGACTGACATTAGTGGATTTCAGCGGTGTATACTGAGTTGATAGATGAGGGTTCGGAACAGGATGACGAGTAAATACAACTTTGGCCGAAAAAAATTCCACGCAGTAGTCATTAGCACTGAGAAGCAACTCAAGTAAAATCGATGGAAAAGGCCTTGACAATACAAAACAACAGCAAAATTTTCAGATTTATCAAAAGATAGGTACTAATTACTCAGGAAGTTCTGAGACAACTTCTGAAAAAGTAAGACAGTAATTCACCCCAAACCTAGGAGACTAAAACGATAGGCATAGCATTTCAAAGAACAGTTTAACTGTTCTCCATCTTCCCATCATTCGTCTACCATTATTAGGCACACTAAACAGGATGTCAACATAAGCTCTCCGACTCCAAATAAAGTAGGAAAAGCTAATATGAAGCCAGTGCGAGCAGTAGAGGATGACAGATTAACTTCTGAATACATCAAGGATACTGTTTTTTAACTGTTGAATTAACTGAGCTATCATCCAGAATCTGTGAACTGAACCCAGTCTCATGGGAATGGTCTCGGTAGTTGATCGTTCCATTCTATAAGGGGCAAAAATCCCTATTGACGGCAAAGAAGGAATCAGTTTGACCAATATGTTGTCTAAAACGTTAGCCCCAGTAACCAACCAACGCTTATCTGGTACTCTTGAACAACAAAATCGGGGAAACCAGTTTAGTTTCAGACGTGGATGTAGATAGATAGACCAAATATCCACCTTTTTCAGGTCCTGTAACATAAACATTGTTTTCGACTTCCGGCTATAGTTGTATTCCTTGACCTGAAGAGGGCGTTCGACTCCATTGGTTGTGATGTTCTGTGTTAGTGTCTGACATTGAAACGCATGCCAACGAGTGACAACAACCTTGTACAGGCTCCCTAGTTAGACACTACTGGTCTGTCCAGAACTTACGGTCAACTGTCATTGGAATTGATAACCTTGGGTGGCTTTCGTTAAGACTATCTGCTTTTTCCATTTTTGTCCAACCTTGTTGTAGACGTCATTTTAGAGACAATACTTTGATTGCCTGATTTCTGAGAAATCAATCTTCCACTTTGAGATTCACTTGTTGATTTAGAATATGCAGATGACATAGTTGTGTTTAGTGAAGACGCTGACGAAATGCAGTCTTCTGATCACTCTAATCAGTAATGCAAGGATGTTTAGGATGCGATTCTCTCTTTTTTTTTCTCTCTCTCTCTCTAAATGCAAGTGTTGTTCCAGGACTGGTATGGGTAGGTGCTTGAATTAGTGGTAGGGAGTGAAATAGTTGATCTTATATATGTATGCGGCATATACTTGGTCACTGCGAAGCAGGAAAACGACTGTACTCACTTTCTGTCTTTTAAACTTTGGATTTTTCTCATAATTCATGTTTCGACATTTAGAATAGATAACTCTTGACTGATGATCAAAATATATAGTTTTTCGTAGTTCTTATTTTCGTTCTGCAGACTGAACTAATTGGTTTGATTTCATTTGAATTTATATAATTTTTATGAAGAACACTGATAATTATACTGGGTATTTCAATTTTATCGGTGATAATGTGATTAATCTTTATGACAGGACTGAATAACATTGGACTTTATAGGAAGACGTATTTGACTAAGGCTTATCTTGTCATAACTATTATATTTCTGCATATCTTTCAAACAAGTATGAGGTTTATTCATGTATATTATAGACTAATTACTCACTTATTTAGTGACAATTTATATCACTCAGTTTTAAAGATCTTATTTTAATAATAGAAATATTAACTTTTTATAAGACACTAAATTTTATGGAACACTTGTGACAGAATATTCTAGAGGTGAATATTCTAGTTAGCTGAATAACTCCTGGAATGTGCTTCTACGATAGACGGGATGAACACTATTATTCTTGAAAAAATATCACAATTTTCATTGTTAAGAATCTACAGTAATACTATGTATAAACATTGTGTACTGAATTTAGGTTCAGTTTTAGATCAACATTAATAGTTACCTAAAGTTGTATTTTGGGAAAATTTTATACAAATAAAAAATAATTTTCAATACAAATTAACGTTAATTGATAAATTATTGGAAACCAGGCGTTGGTGAACATTTACTTTGTCCTATTTAAAAAAACTATACACCTCTAAATAGATCCAAATTACAACGAGCTTAATATTCAAAGCTTTTTTTATTTCCACTAATTTTTGACTTCATAATGAAAATTACTTTCAAACCATTATCAATATAATCCATTTAAAAATAATCAGGGAACATTTTGAGTGTCTAAATATCTCATTCAGGACAACAAAAATATTCTATCATGTCCCACAGTTGAAATATTATTTGTTACTTAAATGAATTAATGAAGGATTTTTCTCGACTTTATTACTTAATTTGTTATATACATATATAACTCAGAATGATCTGAAAAAAATGTAATCTTTTAAATATTGATGTATAAATTAGCATTGTCTATAATATGGTAGCATTTATATTTTAACTTTATGATTACTTGCATAATTTTCTACCAAAGTAACTACAATTAACTTGTTATTTGTACTATATAATGATTTTGAAAGCAATTAAGAGTTCTTATTGTTTCATGACAAGAGATTGAAACAAGTTCAAGTCTTAAAAAAAACGAAATAATAACTTCAATAGACAGACAACTGTGATAGACTATCATTCAACTCCTGTCTAAGTATAACTGACGTTTTATTCATATTGTTATAGAAAGTAAAATCTATCTAGTACAATTATTGTGAATGGCTTGAAATCAATAAAATTGATAACCTTCACAAACGAATTCTCGCGATGAAACGGGAAGACGTATTTACTATGAATGATTCTATGAAATTAAAATATTTAGTTCTTGTGTAAATGCTCTGTAATAATATACTATTATGAGTACTGAGAAAATCTCTTGTAGATCCTGTAAATTCACTAATAATGATAATAATAATAATAATAATAATAATAATAATAATAATAATAATAGTAATAGTAGTAGTAATAATAACAGTGGTAATAATAATAATGATAATAATGATAACAATAGTGATGATAATAATAATAGTAATGATAATAATGATAGTGATAATAATAATAATAATAATAATAATAATAACAATAATAATAATAATAATAATAGGTTTTTCTATATTTGATAACGTTTTTCTATTTTAGAAATTGAAATCGAACTTCAAAGGCAATCCTAAACGAGAAATGAATTAATCATAACTGTCATCGAAACTACGACAGCATTAGTTCAAACAGCTTTTTAACTGGTAATTTTTTAACTCAATAGTTGAGATCATGTGTTAATTGAAGCTAGACCACCATGGAAAACCTGGAAGCACCGGGCGGTCGTTTCGTCCCAGTATGGGACTACTCACTAGTGCGCATACACGGTCCCACCTGCGGGATTCGAACCCAGGAACTATCGGTCTCGCGCGCGAACGCTTAACCTCTAGACTACTGAGCCGATATCCAACAGTGTTACTGTCTAACTTCAACCAATCCACGAAGTTGAGCCACACGTCCGCTATTGTCTTTAGTGTGTTACTATCTCACAACAGACCCGGTTGACCTCCACTGGTCATTGCTTCTCAATAGAACTCCAGATAATGCCTCTTGAAGCCAGTCACTAGTGAGCATATGTTGATTCATATCAGAAGGGTTTTTGTGGATATTATAGTAATTTTAATAGTTGAGGTCATGAGTCAATCGAAGCTAAACCACCATGGAAAACCTGGAAGCACTAGACGGCCATTTCGTCCTATTGTGGGACGCCTCAGCAGTGAGCATTACTTTTTCCCATATATCGTTTGATAATAGTAAGTACTTTACTTATCAATCATCTAAATATCTAGTGTTAGTAATAGGATCTAATGGGAAGGTTACATAAATTATTATTTTAAAATTATGGGATAACTTATGTAATGTTACATATAGATCACATAACAATGAAACGTTATTTGAGCTGAAGTAATTTATCACATAGTTGAATCTCAATTGAATTTCCGACGTTTCACAATGCAGTGCAAGTTAGTTTTTCAGAAAGAAATAAATAACTGAATTAAAATTCACACAAGTGTAAATAGCATTTAGGAACAAATCAAATAATATTAGCACAATCACAACATATCTAGCCATAATGATGCATGTCTCTCAAGTCAAAGATGAAGCACTTTTTGTATTCGTGCATATCTGAGTGGATGGGAATTTTGTAATTTAAAGAATTTGAGTTAGTTTGTTTATATGTTAATAATATGAGGTTTGCGTAGTCTAAATAAATGGATAGTTAGGCATTTCAGCGCAGTACGGTTTAGCATTATGCAAAAAGTTCCAGTCAATCAATTTTCTTTATAGTTAAAAACCTTTCTGAATAATTTTGATATTTTTAATACCACTTTAATGTTAGTTGATAATAACACACTTATATAACTGAGTTTATTTGTAAATTTTCGATATCATCAAAATTATTAGGTCTTATATGTAGCTTAGATGTTCCTTGCACGAGTCACGATTTTTTATGAAGACTCTTGATTATATTACAATAGACAAAACCTAATCTGCACACACAATTCTGTCCAGAGATAAAATGGGTCCTTTCCTTGATTCAAACTAAAGCATTTCAAAGCATCGATTTTTTTATATTACGCTTTATTCTGTGTATTTTTAAGATTCGTTGCAGTTTTTCTGTTGACCAGCAGGGGTAAAACTACGGTATCAAATGGCAATAGTTCATCCTGATTATTACTTAATAATAAACCGTTTCGTTTTAATATATATTTAATGATATTCCTAAGAAAATTATCAAGTTGAGAGACGTTTATTATATTCTTCTGTTCTGTTTGCCTGTCTTATTCTGAAGCAATAATCTTGGTAACCTATATATGAGTAACAGTTATCTAACACAAGGCAGTAATGAACACGAGCTATTATAAAATGTATACCTTTCAATTGGTTAATGAAAAATATTATGTATATAGATAATTGATTAATACATTAGATGATAGAACATTTACAGTGTATTTGATTGAAAAACACTCAATACATAACCAGATCTAGTTTCTTTTTATCAAGCACGTTGCATAATGGTATGATGATAACAATGAACCCAGTTTAGTGGATAAAAAAACAGATTTTCAAGAGTAAACGATTTCCAACGTCAAGCATAAATATTCCAATTTGTAACATTTAAAAAGGGATCTCCAGAATAAATCGAATACTCAAATGTAAAAATAGATTGACACATCTAATCCATTTCTTTTAAATCAACAATATGATCATACTCATTACCACTTTAGTATTAGTAAATTCCTATGCAACTAGAAATACTAACAAACTTCTGTAATATATACAGTTAACTTCACTGTTAAATTGAGTTGTTTTTTCTCTCCAAAAAGTCGCATGGTATATTACAGTAAATATGTGAACTCAACAAAACTAAATGTAAAATACTACTACCCAATGACAGACTAAGACACTATGGGGTAATAAAAGACAACTCCACATAACTAACGTACACTAATAAATATTTATATATTTTATTTGATGAAATGGACAATGTACTTTTTGATTACATAAGTAATAGTAAATTTGATAGAGCAACTAAATCCAGTCAATAATACAACATTAATGACATAAGCATACCAGTGAAATATTTTTACTGGGGATTGCATACTTACAATGTTATCTTCAGATAAATACCGTAGAAGGTGGGTATAACCAAAATTTCTTAATGAACAGATATGTACCCAATAATATTTAAATGGAGTATGTAAAGAAAGTGTTTCAAATATCATTTATCCATCATACACTTCAAATATTTAAAAGAAATTAAGGAAATAAGTAACGTTGTGTGTCATGTAATATTTAAAACAATATATATATATGAAATATGAGGAAAGAATTCATCATAAGAGATTTTATGTCACTGGAACATATTTTCATATTGCGAAATAATAACTATTTATTAAAATAATTATATATATATATATATAATAGGTTTAGATAATATATTCTAATGTCCTTCTTAAAACGTTAATTACCATGTTATCAGAAGTGATATAGTCATTATCAATAATATTAGATAATCAATATGCCTAACCATAAATTTATTTATGGCTTTTCACTAAGTGGGTTGAAGGTATCGTACTTGCTGCGAGACGTGAATGTCTTTCATCTAATTCCTTGTAAAGTAGTAGGTAAAGAAGACTACTGTATAATCCTAAACTATGGAGAAATAATTATTCAGTTTTTATTGATATTTTTTATAATCCTTCAGTTTTTGTCAGTCAATGTAGAAAAATATTTTCATATTCTACCTAATCTCCACGAACCTTCTAACTAAATATTGATCAGCCAAATTGAAACTAACCACCATATTTGATAAACAGTAATAATTATTTTAATAAATAGTTATTATTTCGCAATATGAAAATATGTTCCAGTGACATAAAATCTCTTATGATGAATTCTTTCCTCATATTTCATATATATATATTGTTTTAAATATTACATGACACACAACGTTACTTATTTCCTTAATTTCTTTTAAATATTTGAAGTGTATGATGGATAAATGATATTTGAAACACTTTCTTTACATACTCCATTTAAATATTATTGGGTACATATCTGTTCATTAAGAAATTTTGGTTATACCCACCTTCTACGGTATTTATCTGAAGATAACATTGTAAGTATGCAATCCCCAGTAAAAATATTTCACTGGTATGCTTATGTCATTAATGTTGTATTATTGTATTATTATATTAGAAAGTTTGTGTAAAAACGGGAATAATCTCTGACTGAAAGTGGATAACAATCAGGTCACTTCCAAGATTAATAGAGCTATCTGATCTATTGATTTAATAACGTTTCTATATGACTTCCTAACGAGAAATCTTTTAAAACTAACTGGTCCAAACTACAACATTAAGTAGCGGTGACTGGATAATAGGTTCAGATATCTGGTAAGTTTCGAAGTTATTTAAATAATATGAAATGTGCTTTGGCTACAATCTAAACACGAGTCAATATATTTGAAAATCACTGCACTATATCGTTGTTTAACCACACAAATATAAACAGCCACACACCATATCCCAACTAGGTAATTCGAAGACTTAAGTATATTTACAAACTAGAATCCATGATGCAAATGAAAATGTTAGGAAGCAGTATATTATTTATTCCAAAGAAAAAGAATCATTTGGCCAACAGGTTGTGAGCCACGAAACCAATCATGCAAAAAACATACCACCAGTAAGATTGTACACAAAAGCACTCATCGAATAAAGTGAGAATCGACAATAACTAGCAGTTTGTCTTGAAATGACTTATCTGGGTATCGAGAACAGTTGTAGGTGATGGGAAGTGTAAAGATATTAGACTAAATTGCGATTAATTAGTTGTAGTGAAAGTATAATTGCATTAAAAAAATTGTTATCCGTCCCGTTTTATAACAAACTATTTGAGCAGACTTTGAAATACTAAAAAAAGTATTTATAAAAGCAGTAAACTGAATTCCAGATTATATTTTCATGTCTCACTAAAGTGCTTTTAGATTACGCGAAAATTGACCACGTCCCCAACTTCCTGATAGTGTCTACAAATTTACAAAATAGAAATTAGTTAACGACAAGAATGTTTGGAGATGTACGGAATTGTCGTATAGCGAAGCGTAAGTTGGGCTATCATACGAAATACGGAGTGATTACAAAGCAGCCTACGGAACACAAACATGTTCCAGACACAGCTAAGCTAGATACAAAAAAGTAATCAAAATAATAAAAGATAGAGTGGATTTACTAACGGAAGCAATTTTGTCTAATCGTAGCTGCGGCATCTGGCGGCTTGATGGACGCAGTGTCACCTCAACTTCCAGTTGTGATTCGGATAAGATGGACAATTAGGCAAGTAAGACATTGTCATCGTGTCACCTTACCAAATCCGAAATCATTGGGACTATGAACTTTGGCAACTAAAATAAGCCTAATGTGAGAGGCGAGAATTCCCCTCTACATAAGAATGAACCAGGCTAGAAACTAAATTTGACTTATCCTGGAAACCAGAATTGTTGGAGCAGTGTCCTTAATGGTATGACAACGAAAAATTCAAGAACTCACAACCACACAATTCATGATATGAGAATCAAAACAATGATTTTAATGAACGAAGAGAATACAAATTCGAATGTGCGCATGATTATCGGATTGAACAAACTACATTCAACCTTAAATCCACCAACTATCCAAAAAAATCTCTAGGAGACATGTTCCTTATTTATTTAGAAAAGTAACACAAAGTACGAAAGAAACAATAAAAAAATAAAGAGAAACAGGTTGAAGTAAAGTTATTTTATGAAAATATCAACAAATAAGAAGGAATATAAATATTCCGCGGTTGTATAAACAGTGATTAAATCAGGTTAATTTCGTTATACATGGCTTGTACAGCAAATGCAAGAACGCAAATAATTACATTCATAAATCTTACGAGTGAGTTATGAAAATAAGAATAAAAGAATTACACAATACGAATTAATAAAAATAAATATCGATATCCTCAAAAATTTCAGGTACACAGCTGATTGTTTAAAAAATACTGACTCAGTAATGAAATAAAAATTTCGAAACTCTTACTTCGGTTCTTCTTAAAAAATTAGGGTCTCCAAAAACAAAGAGAAACTAACATTTTTTATTACGGTTATTCACAAAAGACTTGCGACCACGACCACGGCTGAATTTTGGTGGAGTTAAGGCAGTCCGAATAACATTCTCCTGTTGAAGTTTTGATTCATTTACAACAAAACGTGCCATTTCAATTGCACCGTCACGTGTTTTATTGGAACCTAAATGACCACAGTTATGCACAAAAATGCAACCTGATATTCCAGTCATCGCACACAATTGATCATCTTGAAGTGAACGCCAGTCGGTAGGGAATGGTAACCTAATTCGATAAAGCAAGTTGTGGAAAAAGGTTAGAAATAATCCTTACGAAGTTTATGTGCACGAAATTCAATAAAAAACAAAAAAATCTCATACACAGGGTTATGAAACCATCCAATGACTGCTCAAACCCATACAGATAGATTGAAATACGAACAAGCGATCCATCGACTGAAAGTTAGTGATCAGTGGTAATTAGTAACTAGATGCAGTAAATAATAAAATGAGTTTCTGAGTTTATGTAATAACCTTTAATATTAATTTGAGAGAAGGATATACTAGTGATTTAGGAACAATTGGTTCATCCTTCGGTAGCGTTTCTGCTTGCATCGCTGAGAAACAGAACTTATTGAAATTATGCACGAAAACTAGACTATACAATGTTCATACATGTCAGTTAGTTATGACAGTAACTCCACCTATAGCTCTTCTAGGGTTGCTGCCGTTCCCAAGCCCGGTTAAATGAGGAGGGCTAGGTGTGGGGGTTAACTCTCCCATCCCATAGAAAACAACCTTGCTAAAAATACGCTAACCAGAATAACTCGTTCTATTTGATAATGTCCTACGTATGCACTGAGATCACCTATTTCTAACCATAATCTGGAAACTATGAATAATTTATTGTAAGCAACATTACTAAAAATTTTTACTTCTCCCAAGCATTAATGGATTATCACTTCATATATATAGAAATTTTTACTTTCATATGTATTTTGGACACATGTACCTACACTGATTTCAAATATACTGTCAGTACATTTGTCCCATAAAACCTATTGGTTTGAAGTACAGGGGGTGAGACTTTTGAGCGAAGCCAAAGTGATTTTGAGAGTTTTTACATAATGCCTAGGACCAAATAGAGGTTATAAACCAGTGTGAAGAATTGGAATTATGATTTTCGTTTGATGGTTAGGGTAGGGAATTAGATCTAGGGTTGTCATCACGAACTGATATAAGCTATTATGCCAAAATTCTATTTGGCCAAAAGGATGAGTTGATTCCACATCAAAATCCGAGACCTGGTATCTTATACCTGAATGGTCCGTCCATAAATTATTGTCTGGCCGTGCAAGCGAAAGATTTGCATCACAGAAATCATACAGTCGGCCTTTCTTATTGCTCATATGGAAAATGCCTTGAGTGAAACAGCATTACGAATATCGTTATTAGGCCTAAAGCTATTTTTGATGAATTTTTTATTAGGATTGTTTTATTCTGAATCCGCCTATGGCTCTTCTAGGGTTGCTGCCGGTCCCAAGCCCGTTTAAATGAGGAGGGCTAGGTGTGAGGTTAACTCTCCCATCCCATAGAAAACAACCTTGCTAAAAATACGCTAACCAGAATAAACAAATTAAAACATTTAAACTCTGCCCACCGAGTTGAAGGATCTTCATTCAGAAGAATTATGACGCCTCATGGTGAAATCCAAGATTCTTCGGAAATCACGAAGATGATGTCCCTTTTAACAACCACAGCAACAACTTTTATAGGCACATGGAACATCCTGACAATGTGGGAGACTGTGAGGACCAGTCAAATAGCAACAGAAATGAGGAGATACAACTTGACAGTGCCCAAAGCCAGAGAAACCGACTAGACCCTAACTGGACAGCAATAGTTAGATACAGAAGAGATGCTGCTGTACTCCGGACACGAAGAGGAAAATGCTTCACACACTCAGGGAATTGCACCAATGCTGTCTAAAGAAGCACGAAATGCAGTTATAGGATGAGAATCTCGTGGATCCAGGATATCAAAGCATCATTCAAAACAAAGAAGCAGGGAATCATAATGAATGTCATCCAATGTTATACAACCACCAATGATAGCAATGACGATGATAAAAATCCGTTCCACGAGAGACTGCAATCAACCATAGCGAATTGCTCAGGAAAGGATCTCATCATTCTGATGGGAGATCTAAACAACAAAGTCGGAGTTCACAACACTGAATATGAGGATATGATGGGACGACATGGACTGACTAAGAGAAAAGAACGAGAATGGTGAAAGATTTGCAAATCTATGTGCAATCAACAAAATAGTTGTAGGTGGCGCAATATTCCCACACAAACGCATACACAAAGCTACGTGGGTCTCACCGGACCACACCACGAAGAACCAGATCGATCATGTTCACATCAATAAAAAATTCAAAAGGTCAATGGAAGACGTGAGAACCAGGAGAAGAACTGACATAGCTTCAGATAACCACCAACCGGTGGTTGTTAAGATGAAGCTGAAGCTATAAAAAAAGCATTGAACAACTGGACAAATAGCATTGTCAAGGTTCAATATAGCCTTCCTCCGAGATACTGACAAACTCTAGGAATTCGAAATGGCTCTCAACATCGGGTTCTAAGCCTTAAAAGAAGAAAACTACTATAGGGGACAATTATAAAGAGATCAAAAAGCACTAACTTCAACGTGTCAGGAGGTTCTGGGCCGCAAGGAGCATCACCATAAGGAAGAACAGCAAGACAGAAATCAACAACAGCTGAACGAGGACAGTGAAAGTCAAGGCACAAGCTGACTACACAGAAGCAATCAAGTAAGTTAAGAGGGGCATTAGAGCTGATGAGCAGAAATATGTGGAAGAACTAGAAACGGCAGAGGAAAAAGCTGAATAAGAAGGAAATATAAGACAACTATATGACACGACGAAGAAACTGGTAAGGAAATATGGTAGACCAGTCAAGGATAGAGAGGACAAGCCAATCACTGAAATTCAAGAACAGATGGGTGGAACACTTCGAGGAACTTTTGAATAGACCAACTCCATTGAATCCACCAAACATTAAAGCAGCGCCTACAGACCTTCCTATAGATGTCACTCCACCAACGATCGAAGAAATTAGAATGGTCATCAGACAAATCAAGAATGGAAAAGCAGCTGGATCTGAAAATATACCAGCTGAAGCACTAAAGTCAGACATAGAGGTAACTGCAATGATGCTCTACATTCTAATCAGAAAGATATGGGGGGAAGAACAAGTGCTGACGGATTGGAAAGAAAGACATCTCACCAAGATGCCAACGAAAGGAGATTTGAGCGAATGTGAGAACTACATAGGCATCACACTACTGTCAGTACCAGGAAAAGTATTCAACAGAGTATTGCTGAACCGGATGAACGACACATCACGCGCTCAACTTCGAGATCAACAAGATGGATTCCGTAAGGAACGGTTGTGAGCAGACCGAATCGTAACACTACGGTTCATCGTTGAACAATCAATTGAATGGAACTCGTCACCATACATCACTATACAGCATTTGACAGTGTGAATAGGAGAACATTATGGAAACTTCTTCGACATTATGAAATCGTCACCATTATACGGAATTCATATGACGGACTATACTGCAATGTGGTGCATGAAGGACAGCTGACAGACGCATTCCAATCAGTTAGTCAGCTACAACGTAGGACCAAACACATATATGCATCGGTTCTAGTTGCCACACCTCATAAGTACAAAAAGATGAACACCACATTTATAGAAGTAGTTAATTGAATAGTAGTAATATATAAAAGAAAGATTGTGTATGAGGACATAATACAGGAAGAAATAATTCGTCCATAGAAATAAAGGTATAAAGCAATTTCAATCTCACTGTTTAAGGACAGACAAAGAATGTATACACCTACATCATTGTGGTCGATTTTAAGAAATTTCACCCACACGCATTCCAAGTGAGGATCGGAGTCAGACAAGGCTGCCTACTGTCCCTCTTTCTCTTTCTTCTGGTGGTTGACTGGATTATGATGACCTCAACATCTGAGAGGAAGCACGGAATACAATAGACAGGTTGCATGCAACTAGACGATTTCGAATTCATAGAGCATCACCTGAACCTTCTATTACATACACACCAACTAACGCAGATGAAGACAACTAGTGTAGCAGCTGTCTCTGCATCAGTAAGCTTCAACATACACAAGGAAAAAACAAAATCCTCAAATACAACAAGGAGAACACCCAATCAACCACACTTGATGGAGAAACTCTGGAAGAGGTGGGAACTTTCACGTACCCAGACAGCATCATCGATGAACGTAGAGGATCTGATGCAGACGTAAACGTGAGGATTGACAAAGCATTCCTATGGTTGAGGAACATATTGAACTCAAAACAACTGCCAACCAACATCAAAGTCAGAATCTTCAATACAAACGTCAAGACAGTTCTAGTGTACGGGGTTGAAACTTGAAGAACTACTACAACTATCATCAGAAAAGTACAAGTATTTATAAACAATTGTCTACGCAAGATACTCAATATCCGTTGACCAGATACCATCAACAACAGCCTACTGTGAGAGAGAACAAACCAGCTTCCATCTGAAGGGGAAATTAAGAAAACATGCTGAAGTTGAATAGGACACATAATGAGGAAATCATCAAACTGCATTACGAGACAAGCGCTAACTTGGAATCCTGAAGAGAAACATAAAAGTGGAAGGTCAAAGAATACGCTTTACCGGGAATTGTAAGCAGAAATGAAAAGGATGAACAGCAACCGGAAAGGACTGACCAGGACAGAGTTTGATGGGGAATGCTGATAGGCGACCTATGCTCCTCGACGAGGGACAACAGGCGTAAGTAAGTTATGACTGCGGAATAACTAAGTGTATAGATATTTTCTAAAAATCATTTTAACTGTTATAAGACAGAAATAAGAGAACATGAAATTTATAACTGGAGTGAAGAGTGCAAAACCATAAACACAGACGATTTATTACGATTCAACCCTGATCCAATATAGTGTCTTAAATATTAACCCCAATAATACTTCGACGCCTAATCAAAGCTCGTGAAGAGCAGATTAGAGAAAACCAGGCCGGTTTTCGACCTGGACGTGGTTGTATAGATCAGATATTCACACTACGTCAGGTTCTAGAACACAGATACACATTCAGACCCCCCACAATGGTAGTATTTCTCGACCTTAAGGCGGCATTCGACTCCGTTGATCGTGAGGTTCTATGGCAGTGTTCGTCACTGAAAGGAGTACCAAAGACGTACATTAACCTTATAAAGGCTCTATACTCGAACACAACTGGTAGAGTGAGAGCTTATGGCGAACTGTCATCAGAATTGATTACCTCAAGTGGTGTTCGTCAGGGCTGTCCACTCTCCCCATTCTTGTTCAACTTTGTGGTCGACGTACTTTTAGAGATAACACTCTCCTCATCTAAATTTCCAGGGGTTGAACTTCTACCAGGAGGTTTACTTGTTGACTTAGAATATGCTGATGACATAGTTTTATTTGGTGAAGACGCTGACAAAATGCAGAGTCTTCTGGCCACTCTAAGCAACAATGCAAGCATGTTCGGGATGCGATTCTCTCCCTCGAAATGCAAAATGTTGCTTCAGGATTGGGTTACATCGACACCCGAACTAGTGATAGGGAGTGAAGTAGTTGAGTGTGTCGACCGCTTCACTTATCTTGGAAGTCTCATCAGCCCTTGTGGTTTGGTGTGTGACGAAATCTCAGCACGGATACAGAATGCTCGACTAGCTTTTGCCAACTTGCGTCATTTATGGCGTAGGCGAGATATCCGTCTATCAACCAAAGGACGTGTTTACTGTGCAGCAGTTCGTCCCGTCCTACTTTATGGCAGTGAAACATGGCCGGTAAGATTAGAGGATATTCGTAGGTTACTAGTATTCGATCATAGGTGTCTTCGAAACATTGCTCGTATATCATGGGACCATCGAGTAAGTAACACAGTTGTTAGGAAACGGGTACTAGGTAAGGATGGCAAATCAATTGGTGAAGTAGTGAAACTTCATCAGTTGAGATGGCTGGGACACGTGTTACGTATGCCCAACGACCGACTGCCTCGACGTGCTATGTTCAGTGGTATAGGAGTAGGTTGGAAGCTAGGGGCGGCCAAACCAAAACATGGCACAAGTCCATGAAGCCACTGACAAGTGGACTGAGTCATGTTGGTAGGTGTAGACTACCTGGTTGGGGACCACGAGATCATAGTAACCGATGGTTAGAGACCCTGAATGACATGGCTCAAAATCGTTTGCAATGGCGCAGGTGCATCCACTCTCTGTGTTCTCCCAAATTCTAATCTTCTGAATTCTTCATGTCCCTTTTTTCCTCTTTCCAAATTTATTTCACTGGATTATACTCGTTAAATAACATCTTCAAACCCTAATCTTCCCGATTATTGCTTATACTCTTGCTACCTCTACCACTACGGGATTTGAATCGACAACTGCATCTCTGTGCTAAGGTGGTGTGGCAACTCAAACTGATGTACGTACGTACGAAGTTCTACGTTGCTACTGACTGACTGACTGACTGACTGACTGACAACGCTGATCCATTATTCGAAGCATTTTATAAAATGAAGTGCTAAGTACATGATTACAGTCATTGTACAACATTGAGAAATTTGAGTTGATATTAAGAGTTAAGGAAATGGTCACAATAACAAAAGTCACAGGAGCTTCTTATGAATATTGTTAACTTGAAAACAGCAGTTGGATATTAACAACTTCCTGGACTTATTTCAGCACACAATTACAGACTCCTTGCATGACTTACTGGTCTTGTCTTCGACTTTGAGTCGAACCATAACAAATCCATACAGCGGTTTCGTCATATATGATCAATAATAGGGAGATACATATGACTGTATATCTGTTATCTATGAGCGGTGCAGCAGAGTTCGTGTCTAAAGAAATCACCAATACTAATTTAAAGAGCCGGCTTAATTATTATCAAATAACACCATCTATATGTAGACTAGGTATCTATATTTTTTCTAATGAGAGGATATATTGCACAATAATCCAGTTTTACTTTATAACTGTGAAATATCGATTTTAAAGGTAGACGATGTGCGTAGGCGTTATAATCTCTCTTATTACGACCCGGCTACTATTATCGCTTTGTTTTTTTGGACACTTTAATTCACTCAACAATTTCTCAAATCAGAACACGGTTGAACATGAACGTAATGATATTCCAAATATACAGGGTCGAGTGGAAGTGGGAGTCACAATAAGAAAAATGTCAGTATATTTATGATTTTACACAAAAAAATTCTGGGGTCTTCTCCAAGTATCTACTGGCGCTGATTGGTCTCAACACAATCCTGTACAGAACACTCTTTAATATAATCTATATCCCGCTAACAGTGAGTTTGCAGTACTTGATCATATAAATATTTGGAAAGCTGCTCATTTTATGATAAAACTGAATCAGTCATGTTCAGTTAATAAACGGAATCTTTCTTTCTTATTTAATGTTCAGTTAATACGTAAAGTAATAAACCAACATAAAAAATTAGCTGATAAAGCTGTGAGTCTCTATCGACTGAGATGGGCGGGACATTTATGCCCAAACAACGACTACATAGACGGAGAATGTTAGCTGTCTGAAATAGAAGAAGGCTAGGGAGGGGAAAACTAGAACATAATATCATTTTATGAAGCCATTGATTGTTAGCATGAACCGTGTTAGTAAATGCAGACTGCCTTATTGGAGTCCGTACGATCACGGTGAACAAGGGTTTCAGACCCTAAATTACATGGATAAGTATCAGTCACAGTGTAGAATCATTCATTCTTTAACTTCCCCTATATTTCGGCTTTTTATGTTGCCCTATAGTTTTTTAAATCCGCAAATTAATCCCTTTTCTTTGTGCTATATTTCCTTTGCTTAATTTTTTACCTATCAGTGACACTAATATTAGTTTGAAACCCTTTAATATCCATCTTATTTATTTCACCATATTGTACTGATGGAGTGTGGAAATTTGTGCCGAAATACATTTGCGTTAGGCCCTAGATTGATAATTACCATAAGAGAGAAACACGGAGATCCTGTGTAATATATTTGCCCTTAAATGAATAGCTGAACACCCCAGTCAGTTAGCTACAACCTAGGACCAAACACATTTATGCATCGGTTCAAGTTGCCATACCGCATTAGTACAACAAGATGAACACCGGATTTATAGTAGTTAGTTCAGTGGTGGTAATATATAAAATAAAGACTGCATATAAGGACATAGTACGGGAAAGAATTAGTTCGTAGAAAGGAAGATATGAAGCGATTTTAATCTCAGTTTAGGGGAAGACAGAGAGTGTATACACCTACGCCATTGTGATCGATTCTGAGCCATGTCACCTAGAGTCTCCAACCATTGGTTACGATAGTCACACGGACCCCAACCAAGAAGTCTGAATCTACCAACATGGCTCAGACTAGAAGCTAGTGACTTCAAGCATTGATGCCACCCCAGAGGCATTATAAATCATGGTTTTTGAAAGCTAAACGAGCCAGGTCTAGTGTCACGGTTTCGCAAGCCGGCAGGATTTCAGTTTTCTAAATAAATTAGTGGTTCACACCAGAAGACTTATCCTGATATATTATGCCCGAAGTGACAGATGCGAAAGATACATTAAACATTCGCTGACCGAAAGTCAGATATCCTCTTTAAGTCAAAGAATATCCTCCAAAACGTACGGATAAGAATGTAATAAACATAAATAGGCATTTAACCGTGTAAATACAACTATAAGTCAGCTTTATAAAAAGATCCGTTGTTATCGAAAATGTAAAAAACCACTGATCGACTGATATAGATTTTGGTAACCAGAGTATTTTCGAAGTTGATAGTTTTAGATCAATGGTGTGAATGGAATTACATGAAGATTATAATTACGATTCCTTATGTTGAATTTACAACAAACTTAAGTGATGATAACGTTTAATAAATAGCAGTGGAAAACTTGAAAAAAATAAGCGTACCGAATACCAAACTTGTCTTTTGGTACGGCTTGAACAACCCAATTACCATCTGATGGTAGTATGACAAAGAGAATTTGAGGGGGAAACTTTGGTATAGGACGATAACTTGTTTGACGGAGTGGTTCCGGATAAACGACTGTTTCCATACGTTCTTCACGCTCTAAGTCAAATAGATGGCTCTTCCATGGACAGGATCTATCTAGTACTATGATAGTTCTCGATGAATCTACATCTCCACGAACATTCATTGCTTTAGCTACAATATTTCGCGCAGGCCACCAGCAATTAGTAAAGTAGTCCACAGTATCAAGAAATTCACGACTGACTAAGTTGATTGCTCTTTGGAATGCAGTCTAACAGAGAAACAGGCAGGAAGCTCAGGATTAATACATACAAAGTTACGGTTGGTGAAAGATTAGTCTTCACAACTTGTAGATGTGATAAGAATGGGATAGAATATGCAATGATAAATACAAACCCATGTAAGCATATTACGTCAACCATTAGGTTTTAAAAACTCATTCAAGTGTCTAACTGAATATTTACAAGCAACCATAACAAAAATAGAGATATGATTGGAGGAACTGTGAACAGTCCATTAAAATCTTAGTACTAAGAAAGTTTCTTGTGAATTACAAACAAATTGTTCAAAGGCCACTAACAACTAATTTTATGATGGAAATCGACTCACGAAGTGACATTTACAGATAATCTCGTGATGGTACAATGACAAAGAAACCTCGGATACAATTAGGATAGATAATCCAGATCACCAGATCAAACAACCGGTGTTTTAGTTTTTGTATGGATACAGAAGTGTCAAAGAGTAATTTGGTGTAACAAGGAATACGTGAGATTGTGTGAACGACTTAAAACTATGGTGAGAGCATTGCATACAAACTTATGTTATATGGTTTGATGGGCCATATCAGTTAATTTTCTTTACCGTGCAACCACTCATTTAATTTTATAAGCTTAGTTGCGTTAATTATCAGAGTTGAGAATAACGTGCTGAAGATGCTAAACCCCGCTACATCCAATAGGTCTGTTTTATGGCTGACGAAATTCAAGCTAAACATTTATGTTTATTTATGTATTTGAACACATAAATATTGGTACAAAGGGGCAATGAATACATATGCGCCACACAAGTCACTTGATTTGCGTGTGGGTTATGATACTACCGGGTTGTCCAAACCAAAGTAGGTGGTTTTCTTAAGGGGCCACACACGGAGCTTTTCGACTCAAAAGTCTGATCCACAAGGCAGTTGAGCAACGTAAGGAGATGCAGTCCCATGGTAGCTGGCGACCAACGATTGGTTCATACGCCATTTGTTCCATCGAGATACTGGATCCCATGTGCACCATTGGTTTGGAATCAGGGTTTTCCAAGTCTCCTAGGTGAACTCTCAGTGTCCACCAACCCGGTTAAAGTGCCGGACATTCGCTTTTCGTCCTTTCAATTCCGCGAACAACACCTTCACCACGAGAAGGCAGTGAGTGGGACTTCCCTGGGAGTAGCTGTATATGCGTGTCCATGTGAGAGCATTTCGAGAGGAAGAGCTGACTCTGCCCACCCTCAGCCATATCAGGACATTTGGTGGCAGCATTCATGAGAATCGCAGTAATGTCACTGAGTGGTCACACATTGAATAGCTCTACAAAAATTCATGTGTATTCCACGAAGCAACATTTCATGACTATATTTATGAAGTTAATCACTGAATCTTTTCTTTGAGGACAACGGAGCTATGACTCGCAGTCTGAGAAAAAAAGAATCACTGGGCGTTCAGAGAATCCATGTAGCATTACACAGAATAACTGTGACAATCCATGGTATTTTCGTCTTTATTAATTTCAAATGTTTGAACGAAGTTATCACACTTGAAAACCTTAAAACTTAAATGAAAACATGGCTTATTAAATTGGGTGTTAGTTTAGTGTAGCTTCATGGAACCAACATCAAGGCATGAAACTTATTATCAGTAAAGTTATGCCACCTGTTCGCGGTTTTTTGTATGCCTTCGATCGAAAGAATGGTGAAACGAAAAAATTATTCAAAAATGTAGTGTTCTCACTACTTTTAAAATCTATAAGAGGGACACGGTTATGAAACTATATTTAGTCTAATCATTTGTGAAACCAGATTTGACCTAGAGACTGAACTCTTGTATTTGCAAATATAGACAATTTGTTTACTATTAAGACTTATAAATGGTATCTCATTTAAGGTCAGGTTACCTTAAACCCATAAAATTCTTAGGTGATTGGCAAGCGGGTTTCTAATATGTTCAGAACCAGGCGCTTACTAGGAATCTAGAATCAAAAACGTACTTCTGATTCCTCTGATTCGTTATTCCACCAAGGATTAAGTCGTCGAACTCTGCAATATAAACTAGTGCTTATATTGTACCTGAACGGTAAAATATAGAGAACACTCACTTCAATGGAGTTTTAGACTGTGGAATACCGTTGTCTTGCCCATCAATTTCTAAAATGAACGATTCATATATCTTTATCGAGTTATAATATTTATTAGTGTACTTTCATGTATATCTTTTCTAGTGCTTCGTGTCCAATTTCAAGGCCAGTCAGAAGAGAGAGTACTCTTTTGCCAAAATGTACGTACACCAGTCCAGCGCTGCTTAGTTTAACATCCCACATCTTCACGCCGAAATATTGCGACCATGTTAACGAGAAATCCCTAGACCAAGGATAAAGAAGCCATAGTCTACTTACTTCTGATGGTGATCAAAACGAAGTGTTTCAGGGTCATAAACACCACCAACGTCAACGACCACATCGCAAGTAGACAGTATGTCTGGATCGCGAGATCGCACTATGGTAGCATTTTTGTATTCAGGAAGATATTTGAGTAGGACAACTGCTAGCACTTCGTCACAGTGGAAGCAACCGTTGTGAGTCCCAATTCGTTTTTCACTTGTCATTATAGAGCCCATCGTTGAAGAAGTCTGTCGCTAAAATATACTCCCGTGATCATTCGTACGGACTAGGAGTCGTCTTGGCACCAACCAATGAGGGGTCAGTGACAAGGTCATATAGTGAACTTTAAAGGCCACATCTAAGATAGCAAGGCCAAATAATTTTGAGTGTGGTCTTGAAATACTGTTGGAGTGAGAGATTTTCCATCACTTTAATCCTGTATCTGTGTGACCTAGAGCCAATTTAGTTTGCTAATTTCATTGTAACGCGTTAATTTCAAAAAGGGCAGTGATTTTTGTACTTGTTGTGATTATACTTGCTTTTGGTACTTATTGCACTAAAAAGCATTCTTGGTCTACTTTAACTAAGAGTTCTTTGGTTAAAGTTTGATGTTTTTTGCTACATTTTGTCCAGAGTACCTGTTTTTAGTCCTTGACTAACACTTGTGTTCACATTGTTATCGTTTTTTGTTTTTAAACCTTTTAAATCGAATTACAATGGTTGGTAAGACTCACAAATGTGGGCAACCAAATTGTTTGTTCTCCGTTGAGGAGGGAATGCAGTGTGACGACTGTAAAAAGTGGTATCACAAAATGTGTACACGACTAATTCCGACGGCTTACAAAAGATGCTCGAAGCCTAACTCGCACTGGCTTTGTGTGTTCTGCTGTACGGATAAAAAGGTACTAATACAGGAGGCTATGGGCCTATTGGCTTTGGCCTGCAAGAAAAACGATGGCGGAATCACTGATAACAGGAGTACTGACGATGAAGAATGTGTCAGTGTAGTAAGTGCTGCTACTGGACCCATTAAACATCTGACTGCGGTTGACGGGAACCTGAAATCTCCGTTGACATTAACGAGAAATGAAGTGTCGCCTGATATTGACATCGGCAGTCATACACCTCTAGTCGAAGTAGAAGATCCGGATAAAACTGTCACCGTTCCACATAGTCCAGGTGTGGCTGTTCTGAGTGGTGACAAATGGACTTCGGTAAGAAGGAAAAAAATAAGAGGAAAAATGCTGTAGGCAAAACGCAGCTGGTCAGCAAGACATTGGAAGGGATGTTATCAGAAGAAAAATCCTCACCGAGTGAAAAGACAGATCTCTCTGAGAGATCAGTCATTTTTCATAAGATAAGAGAGTCTTCAGACACTGAACCAAAGGCAAGATTTGAACATGATCTCAATCATATTAAGACATTATTAAGTAAGCTACTCCCAAATACAGTTTCAGGAGTTAGTATTTGTAAGCTTCATGGAATAGGAAAAAAGGCAGATTCCGAAAGTCCTCAGAAAAACCGCCTCCTAAAGGTTACATTCAACACGGTGGAAGAAAGGAACCTGGTTCTAAGTAATTCATGTAAACTGATTGGATCCGGAATATATGTCCGTGAGGACCTCAGCCTAGCTGATCGTATTAAGAGAAGAGCTGCAAAAGCGGAAATAAACGAGCGTCGCCGAAACGGTGAAAGAAACCTCGTTCTTAAGGGTTTTCAGATTGTAAAAGTTCGGAGCAAAACGATCCCCAAGCCACTCTGGGTGGCAAGGGAAAGCTCTCCACAGACTTAAAGGTATGCTACACAAATGCTCGCAGCCTACTAAATAAAATGGCGGAGCTCAAGTCAGTGATGGATAAAGAAAAACCGGAAGTTATTACTGTCTCGGAAACTTGGTTAACGTCAGAAGTATTAGATAGTGAAATTCAGTTGACTGGTTTCATAACCAGTAGGGCTGATAGATTAAACCGAAGGGGAGGCGGGGTTATTGTGTACACGAAAAGTACCCTAACCATAAGATTAGCTGAGACAGTAGCACATGTTTCAGGGACATGTGAACTGGTGAGATGTAAGTTGAAATGCTGAAGGCAAGATATTGAAGTAGTTGTAGTTTATCGCAGTCAAGAATGTGTAGCAGATGATTTTCTCCTTAGTAAACTTAAGTCCTGGTGTAACAACGGTAAAAGCCTTGTAGTAGGCGACTTTAATGCACCATATATAAACTGGGTTAACTTAGAAGTAGAGTCATCCATATCGTCGTTCGACTCCAAACTGTTAGAAACCTCGATTGGACTAGCATTATTCCAACACATTAGAGATCCCACAAGATACGACTTAGGAAACTCTTCCTCTCTTTTAGATTTAGTCTTCACACACGGTGATGACGTTGGTCAAACGGCTTTTCTCCCACCACTTGGGAGAAGTGACCATGCAGTCATCTTATTCAAATCCATGGCTGAAATTGCTTCTCAAACAATTGCGCCGGCCCGTCCTAACATATGGAAGGCAGATATGCAGGCAATTAACTCCGCAGCATCGGCTGAGAACTGGGAAATTGACTCAAAGGCATCAGTACAAGAGGCATGGACTCTATTTAGACAGTTATACAATCGGGTAACTCAACCATACATACCCTGGACTGTCCCAAAGAAAAAGAAGCACGGACATCCCTGGATAGGGCGGGGTATTCGACGCTTACTAAGACAAAAGAAGAAATGCTGGGATGTTGCCATCCGCCTTGGCACAGCAGGTACGATGGAACACTACAGATCGATAAGAAACGAGTGTATAACTAAAATTCGGGAAGCGCAAAGAAAATATGAAATGCAGCTGGCAGAATCTGCACTCAAGCAGCCCAAGAGGATATTCTCGTACATAAACTACAGAACAAGGATGCATCATTGGATTCCCAACCTAATTAAAGTAGGAAGTGAATCTGAAATGATAGAGGAAGATCAGGAAAAAGCTGAGGTTATGGCTGACTACTTTGGGGCAGTTTTCACCCAGGAACCTCCTCTACAGAAAGAACCAGACCCAATTACAGAGTCAACAAACCAGCTGCTCACCGTGGACTTCGACCAAAACGATGTGCTTAAGGCTCTTAGCACCCTAAACATGGAGAAGTCAACAGGACCAGATGAACTACACCCTAAAATCTTGAGACATATTGCCGAATATATCGCAGCCCCACTGACTGTGATATTCAAAATGTCACTTGACCAAGGTGTGTTACCTATGGACTGGAAGGACGCAATCGTCACTCCCATACATAAAACTGGTCTACGACAAGTTCCATCAAATTACAGACCCGTAAGCCTCACCAGTGTTGTAATTAAAATACTGGAAAGAATAATCAAACGGACCATAACAGCATTTATGGAAACCAATAACTTGCTGAACATGGCACAACATGGTTTTAGAAAGGGTCTATCCTGTACAACGAACCTCCTTATAGCTAGGGAGCTCTGGATTAATGCGCTAGACAACGGAAACTCAGTGGATGTTGTCTACAAAGACTTCAGTAAGGCTTTTGACAAGGTGCCAACTAATAGACTGCTATTGAAGTTGGCAAACCTTGGTATTGCCGGACCTCTTTTAAAATGGATTAAGGATTTCCTAGTAGGTCGTAGGCAAAAAGTAAGAATAAATTCCAAGTGCTCCATCTGGAGACCAGTACTTAGTGGAGTACCCCAAGGTTCCGTCTTAGGTCCTTTACTTTTTATAATGTACGTTAATGATCTTACAAGTATAGTACAGTCTCCAATGTTATTATACGCTGACGATGTAAAAATTTGGCGAGTAATAACTGGAGACACAGACGCATTTACTCTTCAGGCGGACTTAAGTAATATGATAAACTGGTCTAAAGAGTGGCTAATGCCTATCAACTCGGAAAAGTGTGTCTACATGCACTTGGGGGATTCAAAGGTTAATAAGTACAACATAGGGGATGTGTCATTACCCGTAGTCCGGTCTCATAAGGACCTAGGGGTGACAGTGAGTAATGATCTTAAGACGACGGCCCATTGCCGGGAGGTCGCAGTTAAGGGGTTTCGAACCCTCTGGGCATTAAAAAGGACATTCACTAGGCTTGATACTAACATGTTCACCACAGTATACACATCCTTAGTGAGAACTAAGTTAGAGAACTGTGTTCAGGCTGCAAGCCCTTGTTTAAAAGGTGACTCAGACATACTAGAAAAGGTACAGAGAGCAGCTACGCGTGCAATTCCGGAACTCCCGGGTTTATCATATAAAGAGCGGCTTGAAAAACTGAACCTCTTTACTCTGTCCTATCGCAGACTAAGGGGAGATCTAATATTGATGTACAGAATACTGAGAAATGATTTCGGACCTAACTTATTCTCTCTCTTTCTTCCCACTAGATCGGGACACCTCAGAGGACATAGCAGGCGAGTAGAAAAGCCAAGAACGAACAAAATACCCGTGGCATACAGGTTTTCACACCGAGTCATCAATACTTGGAACCTGCTGCCTGAAGCAGTGGTGTCCGCACCTTCAATTGACTCTTTCAAGAGAAGACTGGACACTCACAGAAGCATACTAGAAAATGAATAACATAGGCCGTAGGCCTTCTGTCCTTACTACACAAATCTGAATCTGAATCTAAAAGAAGTAAATATTCCTCTTTCTGTGTTATGTGCTTATCGTTGTCTTAATCACACTGAAAGCCTAATTTTAAACTCTTATTGAAAGTTTTTAGAAGATTTTATTTTTTGGACAACACCAAATGTTTTTATTGGTCCGATCACCATTGGTTAAGGTTTGTTGCTGTATACGGTACACATCTCGTATCTTGTGTGCCTTCAGTTATTATAGATAAAGCTCGACTTTCTTCTTCACTTCTGTGAATAAACATACATTTATTTACATGTTTGTGGACGGAATGGAAGAAGCCTCTTCTTAAGGAGTTCACGCTCCTTGTATCAATCAGTTACCGATACCTCTACATGAAGATTTTGATATATGAAACAAAAGGAAATAATATTCGATCATTAATCTCACTTAAAATGACTACATACTTTTATAGGAATGACACTTTTGACAAGTTTAAGTCAGTACGGCATTTATATTCAAGTGTGTTATACGATGATATCCTACTATAAAAAAGTGAATTACATATATCAAGAGAATCCCTTTGTCTTGATCAGATAATACTCTTTTGTACTACAATTGGCTGAGTTGTCTACAGAATGTTTAAGACTCTGTTCACATTGAATGTTTCTATGTCTGATAGTCTTCACTACCCGGTTTACCTTTCTTCTGTCTCACTCATTAACTTACAATCCGAATATTCTACTACATGTGTTTCATGCTAATTTGGTGTTTGAAACACCTTATGCAATACAGGTTTCAAAAAATTTATGAACTATTCTTAGTGCTTTTCATTAACGTCACTATGATCTTTCTATCCATTTATTTCTATCTACTGACTCTGCAAATGCAATAATCGTCTGAACGAATGCCTATCATGGCGGCACATTACTCTCAGACATTTCAACCGGCCGACATCAACTTTACTGACGACAGTTTCATCTGCAATTCCACAGGGCTTTCCGGATTAGACCTAAGCGCTGACTTGGTGTTCCGGAAATTGCAGCACTTAAGACTAGATACCTCTCCTGGCCCGGATATAGTCCATTCTGCCATACTGAGGGAAGCAGCCGCAATCCTGGCAACGCCGCTCAGCGTGATGTTCTCACACTCGCTAAGCCGAGGCAAATTACCGGAAAATTGGAAGTTGGCTCACATCACACCAATTTTCAAAGGGGGTCGACGCAGCGAAACTTCAAATCACCGACCGGTGGCTCTTCTGTCATTACCTTCAAAACTCATGGAGTCCCTGATATGCGACGGTTTAAATGACTATCTACTGTCCTTAAATTTCTTCTCACCCCAACAGCATGGTTTCAGGAAGGGTTACTCTTGTACAACCAACCTGCTGACTGCGGTGGACAGATGGACAAGCATCCTCGATTGCAAGGGAAAGGTTGATGTCATTTGCCTTGATTTCTCAAAAGCTTTTTATAGGGTTAACCATTTGTGTCTTATCAACAAGCTCAAACGACTGGGTATCAAGCCACCTCTAATCGATTGGCTTACTTCATACCTAAAAAATCGACACTTTAAGGTTAGGGTTAATTTCACTTTATCTCAGGCTATGGAATGTCCTAGTGGGGTCCCCCCAGGGCTCAGTACTAGGGCCTCTTCTCTTCTTGATCTACATAAA